TTTATATGTAATAAGCTATCAACTAACAACTAATTTTACAAGCACAATTTACAACCCGCAAATATTATTAATTGATCAAACCAATTAACCTGATCAGTTAACAATTACCGGCTATATATATATATATATATATATATATATATATATATATATATATATATATATATATATATATATATATATATATATATGTATATATATATATATAGGGAAGGGATCAGGTGCATTTGTTGCTTTCCGTGCGGTTGTGCGGTGGATTAATGTGCGTGAGGTTTATACTTAATGTGCGTGAGTGTTATGCTCAATATGCTTGAGATTTGTACTTAATGTGCGTCATGTTAATATGCGTGAGTTTTGTACTTAATGTGCCAGATATTGTGCTTAATATGCATGAGATTTGTGCTTAATGTGCGTGAGTAATAAGAGAATTTTCAACAATCTGGAAACATTAATCCGAGGAACCTCTTGCAGACCAATCACCAGTAGATCAAAATTCTCTGTTTTTTTCCACTAGTTTTTCTATGTCCTCCATACTCACCTTCACCATAGCAGAATAAATCAATTAATAAATAAATAAATAAACAAATTGGAATTGAAGCAAACAACAAGTTCCAGATTCTCGCACCAAGATCGGTCTGCATAGACCATTAATAAGGATAGAATTTGTGTATTCACTTTGGGAAGTTTTTATTTCATTGTAAACATCAGTAAAGCAGAGCAACACACTATTCACTTTGGGAAGCAGTGCTGGGATGGGGAAGAAGCTGATAACCATATTTTCTGCTGCATTTTACACATTCACGCACATTAAGTACAAATCTCAGGCACATTAGACACAACACTCACGCACATTGAGTACAAATCTCACGCACATTAATAACCGCACAACCGCACGGGAACCTTTCAATATATATATATATATATATATATATATATATATATATATATATATATATATATATATATATATATATATATATATATATCAGCTAACATGTATTTGCCAAACACCACAATAACTAACAACTATTAAGAGTAATAAATTAGACTTTTAAACGCAAAAAATGTAATAAGCTAATATCAATAAACTATTTAAAATAACTTTTTCATTTTTAGATTATTGACATCAATAAGCCAAGTCAAAAAATTATTTACCAAATAATCATTTTAACTATTTGACTAGGTTAAAGAACTAAAATTGGTCCGTGCAAGTTTTTAACAATATTATATTAGAAGAAAATTGATGTTCAGCTCAATTAAATTTAAAGGGCGCGACAGTAAATTTTCCGTCATTAAAAGTCTTTTATGATGGTTTATAATTTTTTAGCAATAATTTTACTTCTCACGAATGAACAATTTTGTTGTAGCGTAGGTTCTTTTTTTCATTATGATTACTATTTCTTGTAGTGTATGTTCTTTTTTTTTTTTTTTTTTTTTTTTTTTTTTTTTTCATTATGATTACTCTTATTATTGTTATTGTTATTATTATTATTAAACTTCATTCACGTCTAATCTCTATTTTTTAGTTTTTAATTTATTTTTCTCTATTACATTATAGTATCTGTTAATCTATACTTTCTCAATCTGTTGAAGCACAATGAGTCAACACCATTTTTACTAAAACTCGATCTCATGACCTCCTATATGGAAGAATCACTACATGCCATCTCTTTCTATTAGTTTTTCTTTCTATACTTTCTACTGTTGATACTTCAGTGCGGAGGCTTCGTCAAAATCAACTCTCTATTTTTCGACCAAATTGAAAATAATTCCAATTTTTTCTCAAACTTCAAAATATTTTTGAAACATTATATTCTCTAATATTCAATTCTCTCCGAGATGTTTACCCTAACCAAATTATCTTTTATTAATTTCACTAGCAAGTAGCAACTGAACGCGCAGTGTGTGAAATCTAATACCAATACTAAAAAAGTTGTACCTTAAAATTATTTGAATTGTATTTTTAAAAACTAGTTTTTTTTTTTTTTTTTTTTAATACGCGCAATGGGAGGATAATGCCCCATATTTAAGTATATTAAAGCAAGATTATGTTGGAGTTGTTCATGCATAGATAATTGAATGGTGAATTTACGTATTTAAATAGGTAATTCTAAGTTTACAAATGCAAGATAATATAATCAAGATTGATTATAATTGTTAATAAAATAATTGTATGAGTATGGTTGAATCCAAATACGGGACAACAAATAAAGATTATGGCATAAGATATTAAATATATACTAATATAGTTTGAGAGGATTGTGACAGAAGGTTGAGTTTGAGGGGGTGCTGGCAATCTGGCATATTGCATCAACAATTTGTTTATTTACCTGCAGAATTCCCAGTTGATGTTGTGCCTGATCATCAGACTAAGTCTTAACACATAATTCTCCATTGATGTTATGTTGCATAATAATTTAGGTTTGTAATGAGAACCCCCAGCAAACCACATAACCATGCACCTTCAAATATCTATTCCTCCAAGAGAGAACCTTCAAGGTTCCCATCTCTTATTATGTTAAGGTGAATATCAATTAATAGATCCTATATTTCATTAGATTGTACCTTAAAAACCATTGTAAACTGTTTCTTCAACTTGCCAATTCATAGCTTTTTGGTCGCCTTCGTTTCATTTGGTGGAATAGCAATATTCGGGTTCTTAATGTTCGGCGAAGTTACAAAATCACAGTTCACTTTGAACCTACCAGAGGCACATTTAGCTTCAAAAATTGCAAAATTGACGGTGGTACATACACATACTGCCATCTCTATTTCTTTATTCAATTCTTCGTTCTCTTTCTTTTTGCGTGGTGTAGTTATAATTCTATATTAGAATTAGACTAATGGTGAGTTATAATTCTATAAGGATTTGTGGGTTAGAGTTCTATTAAGATTTTAATATTATAATTCTATAAGGATTTGTGTGCTTTTCTTTTGAACGGTGAATTAATGAAAATTAACGGAGAAGATAATATTTAAGAGAAAAGTTAATGGATAATCATATAATTAAAAATAAATTAAGAAATCTCAAGAAAAAATTAAAATTTGAACAATCTGAACCATTCATTTGATTTAATAATTTGACGGTCATTTTTCCTATTCATTATATGCTTAACTTTCTTTGGCTCTTATTAATATATACTAGTATTTTATATGCGCCATGCGCAAAAAAATATGCCCAATATTAAAAATAAATATTAAAATCTTAGTTATATTATTTTTTTTAAAATAATAGTGTGTGTGTGTGTGTGTGTATATATATATATATATATATATATATATATATATATATAATTGTATAATTCGTATTAATATTTTTGAGCTAAAAATTATAGAATGATAAATTACTATATATAACTATGGTAACATTTTAATTAAAACCTAAATGAATTAAAACTTACCATTGAAGGATGTAAGAAAAAATTATTGTGTATGCACACATAGTAATAATAGTGTGGAAAGATAACAGAAGTTATAACGGCAGGGATATTTTTGTCCAAAAAATTATGTAGTACAACTTTTATAGCATAAGGTACAAAAAAATTTAACAGAAAAAAGGGACAAAAATCAAGAGTATAACCTGGATTGAAACTTATTATATATATATATATATATATATATATATATATATATATATATATACACTGTAGTAGATGGTAGATTTGAATTAAGTCTAATAATTTCTCATAGTATAATGTTTTAAACAAAATATCAGATGCATTAAATAAAAGGAACATAATTAATAAATTAATGAAGAAGGGGATAGATTATGAGCAATCGTTACACTACCGTGGACTAGGGTCTGACGCAGTTTTGAACTTTAATTTTAACAGCGTTCGTTTGTTGTTCAGTTCGTGTTACAGAAGTTTTTTTCTTTTAATTTTTTTTTTAATAAAGTATGTGTATGTATCTCGTGTTATGTGTTTTTGTACATCATGTTATGCAATTCTGTACATTAAGCATATTTTGAAATTGATTAGTAGTTGTATAACACAAAACATATTGTGTCTCTTATTTTACGAATTTATGTCTTGTATTATGAAATTATATGTCTATAGGACATAAATTATTTACATAAATCAAAGAGTTAATGAACGATTTGGTCCTTCAATTATTAGCGAACTGTCAATGTAGTCCCTTAATTTCTTATTCATCGATTTGGTCCCCGAAAATAATTATTTTTAGTCGATTTAGTCCCTCAGGCCGTCTTCCGTCGACGGCCAGAGGGACTAAATCAACTAAAAATAATTGTTTTCGAGGACCAAATCGACGACCGGAGGGACTAAATCGACTTAAAATAATTATTTTCGGGGACCAAATCGATTAATAAGCAATTGAGTGAATACATTGACAGTTCACTAATAATTGAGGGACCAAATTGTTGATTAACTCTAAATCAGATATGAGCATAAGTAAAATAGAAAACATGTGTATGTATCTCGTAGTAAAATTGAAATCATGTGTATGTATCTCGTGTTATGCGTTTCTGTACATCATTTTATGCAATTTTGTACATTATGCAAGGATTCTGTACCTGAAGTTGATTAGTAGTTGTATAACACAACATATTGTGTCTTATTTTGCAAATTTATGTCTTGTATTATGAAATTATGTGCATATATGACATAAATTATTTACACAAATCAGATTTGAGAATAAGTAAAATAGAAAACATATGCATTTTCAAAAAAAAAAAAAAATAGAAAACATATGCATATATCTTGTTATGTGTTTCTGTACATCATGTTATACAATTCTATACATTAAGCGTAAGGCAAGGTGGACCTGGTCCATGGTATAACAACTCCACTTTCTCCCACATTTTATGTATAGTTAGATATTATTATAAGTAGAATTTCCATTATTCCCGTCCTAGATATATTTTTTGCCAAACAAGGACTCCACATGAATAGGAAATATTATACGGAGTACAATTTTTTTTCTTCTTAATTTCCCGCACGTCCTATAAATACACTCGTGAGTTCTTCATTTTTCTTCATCCTTCAACTATCAATCTTACATAGTAAAAAACATAAAATGAGTTCAAAGGTTGTTGTTCTCCTCGGCCTTTCTTTGGTCGTGTCTCTCATGATCGCTTCCGAGGTTACGGCCAGGGAAATGGCCGAGACGACTACTACTTCATTTAATCGTAAGTTTAACATAATTCACATACGCTACAAGCTAGTCTACAACTTAAATTTCTTTTTTTTTTTTTTTTTTTTTTTTTTTTTCTTCTTTTTAGCTTCGAGTAGCAATCTCAAACATTTTAGTATCCAAAATCTAAGATCAGAATGCAATTCATTTTAATTTTTCAACACTCATACTATAAAAATGACATTCGAACTTCTAGTTGGCTTTTGCGTGCGTCGGTGACTAGGTGTTGGTGTTTTATATATTATTTTTATATTGGCCATATTTGATAACATAGTTAACTTATCTGTCAATTTTTGTTTATTTGACTATAATTAACTGTTTGACTTAATTAAATAGTCAATGTAAGTGTTTGATTAATTAGTTTTTATGTAATTGCGTATTACTCCAAAATGTTACAATTAAAAAAGTTAATCAAATCAGCTTTTTGAAAAAGTTACATTGTATGTAATCTATCCGCTAACAACTAATTTACCAAAGATCTTTCTACAATCAGCTAATGCTATCAACTAGTCAAACTCACTAACCCAATCAGCTAACAACTATTTACTAAACACTCAAATTGTAAAAATTAGCTAAAATAACATTTTTTTTGAATCACTTAAATTAGCTAAAATGATATTTAAGTGACTATTTGGATGTATAATTATAAGTGGCGGGGGTCTATTTTTGATTTACAAGGTAGTAAATAAATGTTCTATATTTATCCTACCACTGGGGTTTGATCGAACTTGTGGCTAGCCATTTAGAATGGTAACAGATGTGACATCACATTACATATATAGTAGTTGGATGTATTTATATTAGTATAAAACCCCGTATGTGGAACATATATGAATCATGAGCCTTTAAAAAAAAAAAAAAAAAAGACTTTCCCTTAATTCTATGGGAATATACAATTTTTGAACCTTAATTTTATGAAATTTGATTAACTAATTATACCCATCTATATGTTGGCGGTGCAGCAACAAAAGCTGAGAAAGCAAATGGGGTTGTCGGAGATGACAAGCACCACCACGGCGGTGGAGGGTGCGAACACGGTTGCTGCGGCCATGGCCACCACCACGGCGGCTGCAGTATGTGCTGCTCATACAAGGGGCAGGCCATGGAAGCAGCCAAGCCTTAAGCTAAGCCTCACCGCTAATGCGTGAGGAGTACGGTGTGGTGTACCTCTACTATATTGCCATCCGTACCTGCGTGTGAAATCTCTTAGAAATTGTCGCAATCTGTAAAATAGTATAATGCATGTAGTGAAGTGTATCACCTACGCATTATCTTTATCATAAATAAAACATCAGGTTGCCATACACTTATTTCCGTTTCTTTAACCTTTGCGTTCACTTCATATATAACCCAATTGAAAGTTGGTCTTTAGTGTGAGTTTTAGTGAGTGTCGTTCTCTAGGAATGACTATAAGGAAATTGAGTAGAGAGGGGTTAAACATAAGATTATTGAGTGTTTAAAGCTAATACTACTGGAAATTATGAAATTTCCGACCACCTGAAAGTGATCTTAAATCAAGTTGAAAGCCTTGTTCCGATCACTTTTGGTATCCGGAAAAACCTTTGTTGCTATTTCCGACCACTTTTTGGTATCAACTTGATTTAAGATCACTTCAGGTGGTCGGAAATTCCATAATTTCCAGTAGTTAATTGCTATTTTATGCTAAAAATTCTAACAATTTATTCGCCTTCTCATATGGGGGGTTTGAAATGTATTAATTCTCCGCCTATACTGCTTGCGCTCATCTTGTTCTATGTTCTATGAGAAATTTATTTATCCCAATTTGAATTTTTTTCTACTGTAGTAAACTAAAAAGAAATATTTATTCGCATAGAGAACAAGTTTAAGATAAAGAAATGAATCAAGTAAAAGACAATATTGAAAGAAAGGATTTAGATAAAACCACTTTGCATAAATGAGAATAATGTCCTAAGTTTCTAAGTCAAGCAAAGATCAAGAATGAAAGTGAGGGAGCTTAGCAAGTACCAATGTCATTCTCATGGTCATTGGGTTATCACCTAAATTCTAATCACATTATCATGGCAACTAGACTAGGTGAGGCAATTAAACAAATACCTTGTGTGCTCTTTCCTTTCCAACTCCCCTTTCTCAAGAGTGAGTTAGAAATGTGATATGTTTGGCTATGGTGAATCCCTACTCACATAAGTGAGACACCAAATCCAAAATCCTCATGCAAAGTTGGGCCCTAACCATACAAGAGTCAAAACAATTCACCAAATTTATAATCAAATTCATTCTAAAGATATTGCAAGCCCTATGTTTTCCAATTTAATTCATATTGACATTCATACAAAGCAATTCAATCTAAATCCCTAATTAGTTTCATTACTCATAATGGAATTTACAAACTAAAAGCAATTGAAATAATCCAAAATGAATTCAAACTACAAATTATGTGAAATGGAAAAGTAAGAATTGAGAACTTAACTTGATAGAACTTGTACGTAGTATGTAATTTAAAATTGAAGTAGAAATTGTGATTACAAATGATAAACTTCATCTAAATCTTCCAAATGTTGATGGATTACAATGGATTCTACCCTAAGATGGTTTGCGGTGAAAGAAAATGTAGAGGGAGACTTTTTAAATTGAAAAGATAACTTAAAAATAAAGCCTAATCCTATTTATACTACTGCTCTTGCACCAAATAAACCGCTTATTCTAGAATGCCTAGTCACGATGGCGGTCACGGCGTGAACCCCAACTTCAGAAATGATGTCTGCTCGTCACGATTGGGGTCATGCCGTGAACCCCATCGTGACGGGCAGAACAACAAACATCGGTGTCACGTTTTTTTTTTTTTTTTTTTTTTTTTTTTTTTTGCTTCTCCTTCGCTTTGATGCTCCGTTGATCATTGCTATGATTTTGCCCTTCCATTTTTTTGAACCACTTTGCCTTAATATCATCTTGATTTTTCCTCATTTTAAGCTCCTGCATGCCCAAGTCTACATTTCCTTTCCTCAACCTATAAACACCTAAAATAAGCTTCATTCTTGCACAATCACCTAGCATTCACTCAAAAATTTGTACAAACGGAGCATAATTATGAGCTAATTCAAGACTTATCACCAATCTAAGATGGTTCCAATGAGAAGCAGCTAGACTTTTTGGATTTCACCCGGCCTCCTTTTATATATATATATATATATATATATATATATATATATATATATATATATATATATATATATAACCTTCGCATTCACATCTTCTAAACAATTTTTGTTCCTTGAAGTTCTAAAATACGTTTTACCATCTTCTTAAAATTGATAGATATATTGGGAATGAGTTCGACGCAAATCAACCCGAGGAGACAAGTCAAAGGAACTTGAGCCAATCTCTAGGTTGGCCCCGAGGCCCACCCCAGCGGTCGCGGCCCCGTGTATCGAAGGCTGACCATTGTAACCGGCCTTTTGGCCCCAAAATAGGGGCCCAAGGCCGGCTCAACGCTTGTCTTGGAGTGGCCAAGGCCAAGCTCGGTGTTTGGCCTAAAATGGCCAAGGCTGCTCAGCCTTGAGCGGTCAAGGCCGCGGTGTTTGACCTCAAGCGGCTAAGACCTGGGTGGGCGTGGACGAGATGGGCATGCTTGGTCAAAGGGCTCTAATCACCCACACTTTTCTCGGGGCGGTTACGGGTTAAAAATAACACACACACACACACACACACACACATATATATATATATATATATATATATATATATATATATATATATATATATATATATATATATATATATATATATACATATATATATATATATACATATATATATATATACATATATATATATATATATATATATATATATATATATATATATATATATATATATATATATATATATTTCCCCTTTGCCTTTGTTAGGACAACACAATTCACATTGAAATATACAAAACTTTGGTCCCTTAAGCTCATCAATACTTTTATCTTTATTCCATTAATAATTGGTTTTAATCAATTTAGGCTACACGGGTTAATTAATTCCACCATTGGTGCTTTCATTGAGAGCTTGACATACAACCCTTGCGAGGCCAAGGTTCAATTCTTGCAACCCTTGCGATTTTCTCAACACCTATGTCACCAAGAGCGGAAATGGCCTCAACAGGGCTGTAACTCGCTAAACACTCATCGTGAGGTTGGTACGAGACTTGAGGAGCTCGAGTTGATAGGGAGGTCAACTCGCCCTGACTGTTAGATAGGCGAGGAGGAGGTGGTACTACTCTGAAGGAATAATGTTCTCCCGAAGAGCCTAGACCACGCCGAAGGGCCTCATTCACTCCGGATGGTCAACCTCAATTCCATGAGAAGGGAGACGGGCTCGAGTTAGCATTAATTTGGCTCATACCCGACCTCAATTTGATTGAACCCTACTTTTGTCGAGCACACATTGAGGGACTCGTCTTGTACCGAGTGGACATGCTCATGATTTTCTGAGCTCACGCCGAAGGGCTCGTCCTTCTCCCGTCTTCCAAGAAGCCAAGCTTGTGTTGAAGAACATTCCTTGCCTTGCGAAGTTGAGGTCATGATTTGTTGAACCCATGCGAATGCCTCGTTTCGGGAAGTCGGGCTCGTGACTTATCGAGCTCATGGTGAAGGATTTAACTCACTCCGAGATGCCAAGCTCATGGCTTGCCGAACTCATCGAGTGACTCCCATTCTCCTAAGCCGCTGAGCGCACACCTAAGGACTCGACCTATAACGGATGGCCAACCTCATGAGATCACATTGAAAAGCTCGTCTTGCCCCTGAGCGGTCAAGATCATGATTTGTCAAGTCCCACTGAAGCGTTATATAGCTCAAAGGGGGCCCGATCCTATATGTCGACCTCGGAGCCCGACCAAGAATGATTTTGGGATCAATTTGCCTAGTGCGATCCCATATGTCGACCTCAATCCCTCGAGAGAGGAGAGAGGTCCTAGCTCACCCCACTAAGCTCATGGTTCTATGGTGACGAGCTCACCTTACCTTAGCT